GTGAATTATGGGATGCGTGATAAAAAAGGCGAGGCCTACGTCTTGCAAAACACTTTTTCGACATCATTCTTCTATGTTGCCGAGTTTTCGTGCGGACCGTCAAGCCTAGAAACCACAAACTCCATCTCTCCCTTATCCGATTTTGTCTATCCCTTTAGTGCCCGAATTCGGCCTTAGTACTTCATATGATCGACAGCCGAGTGGCAGAAAATAAAATTCGCCAATCGAGTTAAAGAATATAGCGCGCAGTACATCTAGATGCCTGTACGTTACCTATATTTCACGGATGTGCTCGCCCTCATTTCTGTACTGAACTTGTAGCTGCTGAGGTCCACATCAAAGCTCTTCAGACAGGCGGTAATTAGTGGATGTACTGAGGAATAGCTTGGGCACTAAAGGGATAACTTGTTAGGTTCAAGAAATATAATTTTGCGCTGTAGACACAGCCCTGTTGCACATCTAAGTACACTGCAGCGAAAGCAATGGTGCTCCAGTTAAAGCGTTCGAGTACTTATGAGCCCCGAGTGTAAGACAAATGTCACAGTGTACGGAGGTTGGATTTGAAGAGCTGCTTGATGACTTTGACAAGCTGTTCAGAACGGCGAACCAAGACCGGTGGCCACTCTAGGCGCGGCATGTCTCGAGGCTGGGACAGTATGCCTACGTAGCTTACACGCTTACCTCGTGAAAGCTCAAGTCTTTTGCCTCGCATGTCCTCGTACGGAAAAGAGGCGCGGAACATCAATGACGCAGCTATCAGCAGACTGCGTCGCCATACAGACCTGCCGTCCAGCCTTCACATCTGATAGTCTGTTGTGCTCAAAGCATCTTAGTCCATACGGGGTTCTGTTTGTGGATGGGTTTCTCACACCCCGCTGGGTTCCATCGAGTTACAACTGACAGGCCGGAACCCTCCCGGGTCGCACTGCCAGTCAGGTAAAGGGCGGAAGCGATAAGCTTTAGATGCTGAGAAACATACTGGCACAAGACTGGAGTTCTTTTTGGGCAGTGGCGAGTTTGGTAGCGTGTTCGGGCTATCAAGGATTGGAACGACCATATGGGCAGCCTCCTGAGATATGTTGAAGTAACACAACGGAGACAGCAGAAAGCATGGCGCTTCTCCTACGGAGATATGATCTGACGAACTCGGCAAGGCAATCCCGGCGCCTACATGGATCAGGCAGGTACAGCAGGTAAGGCAGCCATCGTATGATTTTGATCAGACCATCAGTCATCACGTGGGAATGCATCCAAGGCACATTGTGCTCGAATGCAGGTCTCGCATCGAGCTAAAGGATACGAACAAGGCAAAGAAGATACGAGGAGGATCTCAAGGGCAAGATAAACCACCTGTTGCTTGATGTTCCCCTTGACGCCTGGCATCTGACAGAAGACTTGAGGCATCTTAGTGGTGATTGATCTGGCCGGGGGGGGGGGGGGGGGTAGCGTGTTTGGTTACCACAGCAGCACTAAATCCCCCACAAGCTGTCACCCAACCCGTCAGCTCGTTGCAGCACGTCAGCCCCGCCGAGCTGGGAGACAGCTCAGCTTCGATAATAGCAAGTACTTCGCGTCACAGACGCCATGATGCAAAACCCTCCCGCATTGTGCCATCTAATAACACCAAAAGTACTGGCGTGCAGAGAATACCTTGTAAATCTCGGAAGTCCGACCACAGCCAAGTCCAAGTGGCTCAGAACACGCAGCATTGCATGTTGCCACCAACCTGGCACCACTGGCCCTGGCCCCAGGGCATGGTCGATTCTTTCACGAGAGCTCCGGCGGCGAATTCTTTTTCTTCTGCAATCTACCTATCTCAATTGGCGAGGGCGACGGGACACGACAACGGCCTCCCACACCGACACTTCCCGTCACCCTGCATGCTCGATGAAGGAGGCAGGCCAGGCAGCCACTGTCGCCAGAGGCCTCACAGTTGAGGAAGGGGCGGGCAGCTATCACCGGCCCGGAAGGAAGGAAGCATGGCTCTTCATCAAGACTGGGGCAGCATGATTGGTCGGAGGCCGGGTTCAGCGCCAGCCAGGCCGCTTGCAGCAAGTACAAACCCAAGGAGCCGCCTGGATGCAGGCTGGCCACTTCGTTCCTACCAACGAACGAGCGTGAAGGAAGGCCCTTCCGCGTCACCTCGTCACCTCGTCACCACCGTAGCTTCCTTCGATGTACCGTCGCACCACACGAGATATGGCAGGCACAACAGCTCACGCCCGCGGGTGTGCTTTACGATTGATGCTCCGCCCTGGGCCCGATTCCAACCTTATGCCCTCGTAACGCAACGCAGTTGGGCAGGATTGACTGGCGGTCTACAGTGCCCGAGTGGCTCGCGAGGCCTCGGGGCTGGCTGGGGAAAGGACCAAGACGAGATCATCCCGTCCCTCCTTCTCCATGCACTCACACCAAGCTCTTTCCATTTAATACTGCAAAGCCGCATTTCCCCCTCGTTGTCTGTTCACCTTCTTTGTCTCGCCCTCTTCGCCTCCATGGTCTTGCTGAGGCATCCATTGACCGATCAGTACATCCACTGACCTGCACCTTTGCATCTTGACTCGAACAGTCTGCTCTGCTGTGGGATATTGCAAGTTCGTGGCTAGCTTTCATCCAGAAACTCGATTCATTCTCTTCCCCGCATCGGCCGCAATGACGCCCACACAGGGCCGCAAGTTCTCGACGGGCACCTCGGTGCACCGGAAGAGACAGATGAGCACAATGCACGAGCAGGGCAACACCTTTGGCCCAGCATTGACGGTCAGCAGCCCTACACTGAGCCCCTCTGTCATCCAGCTTACCTGCGTACCGGTTTCCGTCCTGGAATTATTCTGCTGACGTAGATGACTCTTAATCAGACTCTCTATGTTGGAATTTCGGCTGTCTTTGCCGATGATCATACTGCTGTCGTGGCCACTGCTGTCCACGATACCGTTTACCTCGTTGACTTCACCGTCAAGAATGTTGTGCTTGACGATGCCCTTCGTATGGGGGAAGATGCCATTGCTGACTACGTTATTTCTACCCTCGAAGGCTATGAGCGGGAGAACTATTCCAAGTTCATCGGTGCCGGCCTTCCCACAACCCTCAAGTACATGAGTCCTAGCCTATGCTCGCGTCTCTGGCTCGAGCTCGATATCGTCCCGGTTGTCACTCGTCCCGACGATGAGCACAAGGGGCAGAACTTTTGGGACGTCAAACGGGTTGACGAGCAGGCGGACTCGATGGCCCGAAAGTGTATCATGAACTTCGGGCCGTCCCTGGTGCCTCTTCTGCAGGTCGGCTTCCGCGGTGTTGTTCAGACCGATGCCGGGTTCCGTGTCCACCTCACCACGGTGCAGAATCACAAGGATACATGCGGTTCTGCCACCTGGGATGCCATGATGCACTACGCCACCAAGCTGCGAACAAACAACGTCAAGGTGGCCTTCTTCAGCAGCACCCCCCAAGGTGGTGGTGTTGCCCTAATGCGTCACGCTCTCGTACGTTTCTCCCGAATGATGGGCGTCGATCTGACGTGGTATGGTATGCTTGCTCCTTCCACCAACGCACCGGCTTACGTGTCTGCCCCCCCCCCACCCCCCCCCCCCGGGGGTCCGTCAATGATCAAAAATGCAAAAGGGCCAAGGCCGGGCCCCGGGGTCTTTTTGTATTACCAAAAAAATTTCCAAAAATCTTGCAAGGGGCAGCCACCCCCGCCCGGAAAACCGTAGGGTGGGAAGGGGAACATTTTCGGCTGGGTACCCAAAATGTTAACCGATATTGGTTGTCCGAGGGTGGCCCGCTGCGCCCCCCCGGGGAGGGTGGTGCAGATATTGTCATGGTGAGTCTCTCTCCCCCAACCTAATCCCCCACTCCCTCCGGCTTGCCACCCGGTGCGGGGAAGCTAGATCTCGCCTTGAGTGGAGCAAGCGGCACGCTCCCCACGATAGTTCTTGGAGCTTCAATCTGGCAATGGTGCTGACGTTCGATCCCTAGATTGATGATCCCCAAATGCCTGGCTTGATCCCTTTGATTAAGAAGATTACACCTAAACGACCGGTGTTGTACCGCTCGCACATCCAGATTCGCAACGACTTGACCACGAAGGATGGCACGCCGCAAGCTGATATTTGGGACTTCCTCTGGAGCAATATCCAACATGCCGATATGTTCATTAGCCACCCAATACCCAAATTTGTCCCCCACAATGTCCCATCGGAGAAGGTTGTTTACTTCCCCGCGACCACTGACTGGCTCGACGGCCTCAACAAGCCATTGAACGAGTGGGACACTGGTTACTACGGCCATATCTACAACGCTGCCTGTCACAACCAGCGTATGACAGAGGTTGCTTGGGCCTGCACGCAAGTACATTATCCAATGTGCCAGGTTTGATCCCTCCAAGGGCATCCCGACCGTCATTGACTCTTACGCCGAGATTCCGTCGCTTGTGCGACGAAAAAGGGCGTAACTGAAAGTCCCTCAGCTGGTAGTGTGTGGCAACGGCTCGGTGGATGACCCGGACGCCAGCATGATTTTACGGCCCAAACAATTGGCTCAAATTGAAGGAAGCACCTACCCCTCATTTTGAAAGCAAAGACCTGCAGTTGTTCATGCGCCCTCGAACCCCAAACGACCAAGCTCCTCAACACCTATGCTTGGCCAATGCACATGTTGTACTCCAGCCTCTCCACCACGCGAAGGCTTTGAAAGTCAAAGGTGTTCCGAGGCCCTCCACGCCGGCTGTCCCTGTTTATCGCCACTCTCGCTGGAGGCATCCCTCTCCAAAGTCAAAGACAAGGTCAACGGCTTCCTAGTGGAGCCTGGCGACTGGCAAGCTGTCGCTGGCTACCTTCTTGATCTGTTCACAGACGACGAGCTACATCAGAAGATGAGCCATGCCGCAGCCACGGGTGTCAGTGATGAAGTCGGCACGGTAGGCAATGCACTTGGTTGGTACTACCTAGCGTCCAAATGGGCCGAGGTTGGCGTTAGGCCCGGCCTACGAGGAGATAGAAAATGGGTTAATGACATGGCTCGCGATGAAGCTGGCAAGCCGTACGCCGATGGCGAGAACCGTTTGCCTCGGCATTTCACCCAGGAGCCGAATCTGCCAAGTGTGGAAGGGGAATCTGTTCAGGCTTGATTGATCCCAAGCTAGTGGTGCGCAAAAGTTAGTCGGTGGACAGGTCGATGATGTCTCTTTGTACGATCAACCCGCCAAGTGCTCGGGCAGCATATCGATCAGGGTGCAATCGTCTGCCTGGTTTTGGTCTGCATTTCCTTATCTTCTGTCCTTAATGTTCCTTGTTGCTTGCTTGTTAGACACAAAGTACCAGGTTAGAAAATACATACAACATGTCTGATTTCCGCCCACGGCTTTGTTGGCGCATCGTGTCGGCGTCAATTTCGAGCTCCGGGAACGCGCTGGGGACCAATGTGGCTCGCTGCAAATGACGTCTCACGGAAGTTTTGTTGTTAAAGAACATTGTATTTAGCTGTAGCGTCCTGACATCAAACCGTCGGGGCAGGTTCAGTCGCCAGGCAGCGCAATTTAATGTTTATGCCATTGGCTGTGGACTTCTGGAGGCCTCGTTCAATGGCCGAAAGCTCCGAGACTGTTCGGAACATAATCATGCCATTGGGACATAGCCTTCGAGATTAAAAAAGTGCACACTGTGTTTGGAACTATAACAGGTATTCATGAGTCTTGAAGCAAGCAGGCTCAAACGGAGTATTGCCCGTATGCTCAACACGATTGCTCCCCTCAAGGCCTTGATCGTGCTCACCAAAAATGTCACTCAACCCAGCACAAGCAAACTTCTTAGGTCCCTTCCACCTTGTTACATGTTCAACACTTCTCGGAACACAATTGTTCCAGTCATTTATCAATACCAAGATTTGCTACCAAGCTCTGCCCCGATCTGCATTCACAACACTTCAGAAGCGCCTCTTTCCAATCTACTTCAAGGTGCAATCTGTTCTCGTCCTCACTACAATTATCACTTATCCCCTGGGCCCGAGCGGTCTTTTGAGCAATCCGAAGGATCTTTTACCCTTGATTCTAGCTGGCATCACAGCATGTGCCAATTTCTTTGTCTTCGGACCTCAAACGTTGACGACTATGGTTTGCTGCATTTATCAGGGTAGGTTAAGCTTCGTGCGATTTAATAACTATGGAAGCACTAAAGATTCACAAAGACGACAGACAAGAAGAACGGCATACCTGCAGGGGAGGCGAGTGAAGATATGCGAGCCTTTTGCAGGGCCTTCTCGAGAAACCATGCCATGAGCATTCATCTCAATCTGCTTACGATTGGGAGTATCCTTTGTTATGGCGTTCGACTAGGTATGCATCTTAATTTCGCGGATCAATCGCGTTGAAAATGGCATACGCAGTAAGGACAACAATGGGCACGATAAAGTGCGGATCTGGCTGCGGATGTTGGACACTCATCCGAGAACAAGGGTGGGTTGGTTTGGAAGAGTCATCGTGTAAAATTAAACGGAAATCGTCGACGATCCATTGCAATGCCCAATTCTCAATGCTCGCAGAGATTGAAAGAACCGAATTGGTTCTCAACCGCTTCCACCATGCGTGTCCTTTCTTTCATCAGATCCAAACGGAGCTCCTTTGCCCTCTTGAGACTCATCGGGTAGTCTGAAACTTCCTCACCAACCATATTGACAATCTCCTGGGGGAGGCCCCTAAAGTTGTACTCGGCAAGCCTCTTCTCGGCCCACCAGTCGTGCTGCTGGGGCGGCACATTCCTTGTCGAGCAGATGCGGTTGTTGGGATCCACGAGCCATAGCACGATGAACCTGCGATGCCCCGGCTTGGTGCGGTCCACCAACCCGAAAGAGCCAACAGCATGCTGCAGGGTGTTGGGGAACACGAGCATGCGGCCCTGGCGTGTCGAGACGCTGCCAAGCTCTTGGATCGCCGCCGACGAGTCAAAGTTTTCTACGCCGAAGATTTTCTCGAGGCCCTCAAATTCGCCTTGCTCATAGGAGAAGTCCATAGCGCTATCTTCGCTCTCAACCTCTTGGCGGAACGACAGTCGCGACTCGGTAACGTTCTCGACGTCGTAGTAGTAGATGGCCGTCGCTACAATGTGCTCATTCTTCATGCCCTCGACGTGCCAGCTGCCGCCAGCGTAGTCGGGCTTTTCAGGGGTAAGCTCGATAGAAGACAGTTTGACAATGACCTGCAGCCCTCTGTCTCTGAACTCCTTCTCAATGGCGACATCGTAAGGTTTCTGCTTGGCGAATTCGTTCTCCTCCGTATCGGTGGTCGTCACCTCAATGTTGCTCGAGTTGATGATTGGCTTTTTGGAGCCCTCCTTCCACTGCTCATACGTGGTGCTCGTGCCAGGCTCGGGGTGAGGGAAGTGGCGAATGCGTTTCCACTTAGCCGTGAGGGCCTCTGAGATAATTGACTTGAACTCGTATCCGTTGCGATTCGCATGACTGTCATCCTCGACGATCGCCTTCAGCCGCGCCAGGAGAAGAGTGCCTGGCACCGTTTCTGGATTTGCCGGCCAGTTGACTTCCTCGTCCGAGTCATCTTCGTCAATCTCGTCGGGATCCCTCTCAAAGTCCGCACGGTCTGGCTGCGAGAGGTAGGCCTTCACGCGTTCCCAGAGCTCGGGAAATGCCGCGTCGTTGACCGATCGGGCCTCCAGATTCGTGTATTCCGCCCAATCCGGGAATTCGGGCTCCGTGCTGGCGCCGTACGTGAGGATCCGCGGCGGAGCGCGGCCGCTGTGACTTCGG